TGTGAGCGAGAGCCGGGTTTCTTCCTGCGGGAGTCCTGGGCGCAGAAGTAAACACGGGATTTTTGCCCAAATATCACAGCCCCCCCATGGACGTTTCCTCCTTGGTGTCACGCTGCACACCCCGAGTTTCCCTGCTGGCTCTGCTGGCGGGGGGCCCATCCATCCCCCTTGTCTCGAGGGAGCAGAGATCTGCGGGCGGCCTCTGCTGAACAGCGTGCCCAAGCACCTCGGGAGCGTTTTTAGTAACAGCTCTCAGTCCAGCCGGGTTCTGGTAGGGCCCTACCCGGGTGCTGGGGCAGCGTCTCGGGACACTGCCAGCATGCGCAACTTCACTTGCTTATGGTGTTCATTTTTTATCGTTGAGAAGACAGCAGAGAGTTCAGAAAGGGTTCTGTTGACTGAAGGTACCAGAACGTAGTGAAGAGGTAGCTGAGCAGCTATTTGCTTGCAGTATAAAGGAGATGAATGCAGTCCATGTTCTTGATCGAGATTTTGACAGTGGTTTTCAGCCTGCGGTTTCCAACACAGGGGCACTCTGTGGACCATTTCCGAAGGTCTGTGGAATGTAAGGAAGACAAGAAAGCCATTTCGCAAACAGAGAAGTCTGCATTTCTTTTGGAAAATTTGCTAGGATCTGAAAATGCAAAAAGGTTGAGAGTTAAATGCTGCACTAGACTCCAACACGAGACAAGAAAGGTGTGAACTTTTTGGTAGTAGATAATGATAACTAAGCATAAGGACAGTTTACCTGGGGATGTGGTATGTTCTTGTAGTCACTCAGAGTAAATTGTCTTCCTTAAAGATCAGCTGCCAAGCGAATAGAAATGATGACCTTGATGGGGAAACGAGGGACGGGGCTCCTTGTTTCCCAGGAGCCCGAGGACGTTGCGTTAGGTCACTGGAGTGGTTTCTTCTGGCATTAAAGCATTTGTGTCTATGAAGAACACTAAGCCGTCATGACGTACAACATACAGTGCCAGACTTTGGATCCAGCCTGGAGGGTGTGGAGCAGCCTAAACCCCACCACTGAGATGAGGGCATGGAGCTAGTCTGCATTTCGGAGTCCGGTTTGTTAATCGCTCCTCTCTGATTCCAGCAGCACATGTTGTAGTTTCATGTTACTCATTTAGCAGTAATTAAGTCAGGTTTTTACACTGCGCTAATGTAAGATACCATCTTCCAGTCAGCTATTAAATGTGTAATTTTGCCCTGTGTTACTGAGTGGTAGCAAACATTAACACGGGGTTTAGTATCAGGAGAAAAATTGGCGTAAACAAAGCTGTTGCAGAGGGCCTGCCTTTTACCTGCCATTTCACGTAATTGTGAAATGCTTTGGGGGCAAGGTGCTGAAATGAGGTTGGTTTATTTGTGCAGAACGGCTTAAATGCTGAACTGTGGTGTCAGTAGGGTAGTAAAGGAGAGAACTGAGGGTCGTTTGGTCCAAAAGCATCCCCAGGCTGAAGGCGGGCTGCCCCCGAGCGAAGGCGTGCTGTGCGGATGTGGGAGAAGTCCCGCGTGTCGTGGCTGCCGGGTGCTGGCATGGTCCCGTGGACACGGCCAGCCGTGCGGGGCTGGAGGTGTCCCGGGGAGCACCCACGGGTGGAACAGCCACCAGCAGACGCGCATACGGAGACGTGTGTATGTGTATATACACACACTTATAAATACACTGTTTCAATTAATAGCACAGCAACTAACATCCATGCTCCATAAACACCGATTCCTTTCGCCACCATCAGTTTGTCTTTTCTGCTTAGAAATCGTTAATGTTTGTTACTGAAGTATCCTAGTCCTTATTTGCAGAAGGAAACTCCATGCCCCTGTAAAAATATTTTCCCAGGCCGCACATGTTTTTTCCCCCGTCTTATCTGTAGCATAGATGTCGTGCTTTTAGCTCGTGTGCAGTGCCTGGCCCCTGCCTTGGTCGCTTCCCAGCGTTTGGAGCTGTGTCATTAGGGAGATTTCCCTGCGAGTGCCGTCAGTGGTCCCTTCCGTGCGTCGGCTCTGCCGCGGACAGCCCGCAGCACCGCGCCCCGTCGCAGGGCTGTGTCGGGGGGGCAAAGCCCCACGCACAGGGCTCGGGGGAGCCCCCCCCGACTTGTGCCACAAACGAGAAGACTGGCATCGGCAGCCCCGCTGTTTGTTGTCTCCGGAGGTAGACGGGATCGTGTAATGGCAAATGCGTTTCGTTCGAGGAAACGTGCTCGAAGGTTGGGAACAGGTGCTCGGGAAGATGAACTTCCTTTGCCGGTCGTTACAGCAGTGGTCTTCATACACGTAGGGCTTTCCGAAACCTTGGTATCCACAAAACTTGACGTATTTTTCTGTCTCTCAGGTGTATGTCCTAGGCAAGGGTCACTCAGGTGTCAGTTGTCTAACTATGAAAATGAGTTTTAAGAACTTTGGACCGCCAGCAGGAAGACGGATTGGGAGGGGGCAGCAGCAAACCGTTTGTCCCAGCCTTAAGGGGAGACAAAAATCATCGAACAAACAAGATTTCTGGTAGATCTTGTAACAAGAATACATTTTAACTTTCTGAGCGAAATTGCAGTATAAGGTCAAACTATATTGAATTAATTTGTTTCCTGATAAAAACGGTTTCTTACTTAAATTAAGCCTGTCTTTTGCCTTGTCATTGTTCCTGTTTGGATTTATTTCAAAGATGAATGAGTAAAGGAAAACCAATGTAATTTAAGGAATGTGGGTTTTTTCCAGAAAAGGATTCAATTCTCCTTTTTAGTTGTGTGGTGTTTTTATTGTTACCATCCCTTTAGTGAAAGTATGGGCTCGTGTTACAATTTTAAAGCACAATTAGTGTGTAAAGCTTCCATCTCAATGAATTTGCGTTTCTGAGCTGGCAGCTCACACGCCCTGAGAAGAGGGGGTTCCCTGCCCCGGGAGGGGGTTTCTCCGAGCGGCGGAGCCGGCAGTGCCCTTCCCTCTGGTTTTTACGGTGGAGCCACAGCGGGGGGCTGGGGGCTGGTTTTCTGAGGCCACCCTCGTGCCCAGCTCGTCGTGCCGCAGCCAGGAGCCCGCAGGTTTGGATAGACGTTGTACATAGAAGTATTTTTTATTATTTCTTGATGTGACTGGTTGTCAAATTGATGAATGTCCTTTCATCCAGTTAAAATTAGTGCATGAAATTTGTGATTTACCACATCTGAATTTAATGAAAAGTTTAGAAACAAGTCAATTCTGATTTACACAATTACAACAAAAATGCATTGTATGTAAGAGGTTTTCTTCAAAGATGCTGTATTCCAGGTCGAGCCAAAGTGCTGTTCTCCTGGGGATGATTGCTCCTTTGACCACACGTCTTGCTGTGTGCTTGTTCTGTTTGTGCCCCTGCACAGCAGAAAGAGAAGTGAGCCTTGAACATTTTGAGGGCAGCAGTGAGCTTTTGTGGGTTCATGGCTGCAGCCGGACCGCGTTGCTTCTGTTGGGGTTCCAGCTGCTGCAGGCAGCTCTGTGGGCAGGGGGAGCTGTGCCGGGCCCCCGGGATAGCTTTCCCTGAGGAAACACGCGTGCCCAGAGGGCATGGGTGCGCTGTGCTCTCAAAACAACTGGTATTCGCTCCCCTTCAGCAACTTTTAAAAGAAACGGTATTTTTTAGAGTTGTACTGTAGAAATACATAGTTCAGAAAGGCAAAGCAAACAGCTGATAGTAGAATTGTCAAGTTGCTCTGGTCAGGATGTGATAACCTAGGGAAGCAGCCGGGGACTTTCCTCCTAGGTCTGTGGTGTTTGTTTTAGCCGATGACATGAGGAACAAAGATACGCCTATAGCTTCTAAGCCAATTGTGTTGATTCTCTTCTTCAGGGTCGATGTTCAAGGGAAAACTGCAAATATCTTCACCCACCACCACACTTAAAAACGCAGCTGGAGATAAATGGACGCAATAACCTGATTCAGCAGAAGAACATGGCCATGCTGGCCCAGCAGATGCAGCTTGCCAACGCCATGATGCCTGGTGCCCCGTTGCAGCCTGTGGTATGTGTGCTTTTTGGCTTCCATCAGTGGGTGCAATGAGCTGTAGCTGAAGTAAGTCAGCAGGTGGGCTTACATCCTGTAAAATCCCACAGACATCGGTAGCTGGTGGAGAAATCAAATACAGCGAAATGCTAGTCTGTATGTCTTTGTGCTGTTTAATTCTCCCTTGCCTGAATTAATATTGTTAATTTAATTAATTTTCTTAATCTTTTGTTAATCGTTTTTTGCAACTGATTTCTTACAATTAAGAGAGTGAGTGATCTGCGTGGGTTTTTCATAAATGGGCATTTCCTTTACAATTTCTTATGCTCTAGGAAATTCCCAGGTTTGAGAAGATTCTCACTGGATGCTTTCCATTCGCTCGGGGAAACCTTCTCAGGGAATTACTAGCTGGAACTGGACTTTGGCTTTACAGCACGCTGTCAGGCAGAGCAGAAAGCTTGCCCTGAGCGATGTATGGTGCATGTCAGCCTGACCTGCACGACCCA